AGCATCTTGAACTTCCATTAATGTCATCATTAACGAAGCTGCTGCCGAAGAAAATTTTCTTAAGGGAGAGGGGAGACATCCTCCTCCCAAACACTAATCAAATAAAATCTTAACAGAGAAAAGGTTTTAAAACTGGTTATTTATTTGCATTGTTCCCGACCACTCATTTTGATTGCATCCATTTTAACAAATTACACTGTTTCTGAAGTCCCCAGGCAAAGGTTAAGACTGGACCAAGTATCCATCATTTAGATTAACACTATCCTGATGCAGAGTCCGAAAAAAATGGAAAATGCAAGCTATACATACACATTTTTTTTTTAAATAAACGGGAAAGATGTGCTACAGACAGCAAACCCCTGGATTTTTCAAAATAAGAGGTGATAAACAGCAGTAGTATTGTGAAATATACAAAGTAAATAGAACCAAAATATTAAGGAAACATCATGCATACTTTCACTCACATTATTGGCACAGATCTCTTCAGCACAAACAGGAAAGAAAAAGCATTTTAAAAGCCATGAGAAGTGACTGCTAACTCACTCAAGTTGACGCCCCATCAACTCTGTTTTTCTGAAGAGATTTTAACTCAGTAATGAAACAGACTTGAAATTTGAAGTTTGCCTGTCAATGTTAAAAGTTTACTAATACTTCTCCCATCTATGACTAAAACCTGGGGGTGTAGGGAGCTGTTTTAAGGAAACTGTATTCTCAGTATAAAACTCAACAACACTCAATTTCCGCAAAAGCGGCATACGGAAGTTGTATTTTTTACTTTCCTTCATCTACTATGAAGACCTGTAATCTCTGAATAAAGATTTGAGTACAATTTGTCAGTATATAAGTGAAAAAATTCTTGTGCATTTTCATCAAAGATACTACTTTCCTCTGCAAACTTTTTCTCATCCATAGACTGTTGCAACTAACACTACATAATCCTAAATGACACTCTTTGTTTTTCTAATATAACAACACAAATTGCCTCCTCTTAAGTCTGTTTATTATTTCCTGTTGGGTGGGACCTGAGAGTTCTGGCTGCGTATTTTTAAAATTAAAAACTGTTTAAGTTAAAATTTTAAAATATTTTCAGTCACGAGCAGATGCATTATTGGACAACAGTATTGAAAGTACAAAATATTTAGGAAATTAAATCAATCACAAGTATTAAAGAGATTTCAGAAGCATGATGCTCTGAATCAGAATTGCTGGGTACAGAATTATTGTAGAAAATCTAGACTCAAATTTGTTACACCAGATAACTACTAAATTTGAAGAAAAACCCATAGCATGAGGAAATTCACTTGGCAAAAAGATTAACCGGACTACCTAAATGATTGCTTTATTAAGTACTTTTACCAACAAAATTTGTGTGTTAAGTGTTTTATTCCTTTCCCAAATGTCAAAGCAGTGAACTAATATGACAAGAGGAAACACCAAGATGCCATAAACATATGAACTGTTTTTCCTGACTATTGTTAGAATGAAGTTAGAATGTTTTTTATTACACATTCAAAGCAACTTAAACTAAAGGAATAAAGAATATTCAAATATATACCAAACATACTCTGGTACATGTATAATGCTAAGTATATGTAAAAATACTAAGCTTCAACACTGCAAAACAACTCTAGTTACTACATTGTATCTTAACCATATGGGGTAGTAATGCTACTTGAACTAACTTGAATATCATGTTAAAATGCTATTACTTTTTCCTTCAGATTAAAAAGAAACAGTGAATGTTCTTTAGAAATATTTCTGGTCTGTGTAAGTTGTTAATCAAATTTTAACTTAAAAAGCCACGTATATTCATTTTGTAATGAATCATCGGTATTACACAGCAAATCTTTTCCTTTTCTGGGGGGAAGTAAGAGTGTTTCTGAGAAGCCAAGTAACAAGCAAACCTAAGATTTCAGAAGTCCAGCTCACATAGGGTTTGTTGTATTACCAAGTACTTTCACGCAGGTTCTGGGGTCTTACTGAAGACACAGTCCCTTTATTTCATAAACAACAGTGGCAGGAGAGGGCTTAGAAAATAGCAAGGGCTGTTACCACTGTAATCACAAAAGTGAGCTATGGGATTCTCAGTGTCCTTTTGGTTTCGAATAGACACTGAAAATGTAACATCACAGAAATGGTCAGTTAAACACCAGTAAGTGAAACCAAACAGGTAGAACTGAGGCCAGCACTGCTACAGCTATACCCTAGGTTTCAAATCTACAGGTGCCAAGTGCCTACCAAGACTTAATTTTTAGGTTTTTTACAAAGAAATAGTAAAACTCCTGCAATCTCAATTTTCTACAGTAACCTATTACACAACAACAATTAGACTAATGAGACCAAAAGACATCTGTTGACTTAGTTTTTACTTCATTTGTGTGTTAAAATCTGTCCATAAGTGTTTAAACAGATAGAAATATGACCTTAAAAAGAAACAAGCAAAAAACCCAAACGCCACACAACTCAGACCTACTTTGTTCTTGATCTGTTGATACCAGTACAGTTTGCTTGGAAAATGCAGTGAAATACAATTTTGCTAGTTCTGCATTTTACATGAAGGAAAAAAAAAAAAAAATCTATCTGGCACTGCTTTTCAAAAGAACGTAAAAGTTGAATGGGGGGAAAAAAAGCTAGTAGTAGCAATAGTAGCTTCCTCCCCACACATGGTCTATCAGTTCCACCTAAATCCTAAACAAAAGGATTTTATCTTGAGACTAGAAAAATTTGAAACATCTTTTAAAGCCTTACTTCTGAAACTATCAACAGTGCTTCAGCAAAATATATGTTTAAATGAAAGCACTGAAGACAACTCACTGAATTATTTCAATGCTCAAAATTAGATGCAAACTTAGTGCCTGACTGACCTAAGGGCACAGTTAATGACAACAATTATGATCTTATCAACGTAGAACTTCATAAAAGGTTCACAGCTTATTTAAAGGACATCAAATTAGAACTTCTAAAATATTGGAGCTAAAAGCGACCAAGACCAGGATTTTTATTTTTTTTTTTTTCATTATTTGCCTGAAACATTCTTTCCTCTTTGTTTTATAATAGCTGTGTTATTTTGTGTCTGACAACCAATGAAAAGCTATCAACACCTCCGAAAAATGAGTAACAAGCTTCTTTAAGACTACTACTCCTGAATTTAGAGTTGGCAAACCCTTACAGCACCGAAAGGTGAAAAGATTTTAGCAAGTACATTTTGAAGCTATCTATGAAAACAGTGTAATTAACGAGAATCTCTGAGGATAGCAGAATTTTCTCATCACTAGCAACATCAGTAAGCCAACCGTAAGTTAGTAAAATATATATTGTCTTTCACTATATCTCTGCAACTTCAAAACAACATTTACTTTGTATGCACTTAACTACTGAGGGAGACCTGAACTTTCTAGTCAGCATAGAGCATCCTTGATAGTAAAGACTGATAGGCCTCATACTTGGTTCCTGTCCTTCCAGACTCTGCAGTGATAAGCATGATAACATGAAATCCTAACTGCACTTATTTCTGGAGTTTGCATATATTCATGAGACAGTGGCATGGGAAGATTTTGGGAAAAGGCAACTGGTGATGAAAAGAAGAACTACTGTTTTCACAAAAATTGAAAAATCTATTAATTAGCAAATTTGTGTCAGTGATATTTGTAGGTATCCATTAATTTACGAAATGCTACCTCAGTGAAAAAAGTAAATTTAAACTTATAATTAAAATTGATTTTAGAAGTAAAATCATAGTAACTGAGAAAACAATTGAATTGCTATTTTTCAGTAAATGAAGCAGGAAATTTTTAAACGTACATATAAATGAAGTATCACTGTCTGCTTTCCACCCTCTTACCCTCTCCCAAGATTTCCTTGTTCTCTCTTCCAGCACTTTTTTTTCCCCAGCAAACTCTTCCGATTTCAAAATATATCCTACCAAAACATTATCAAGGTGCCCACTGGAATCAGTGAATACAGCTATGAAGTTTACCTGCTATATTTAAAAAAAAAAAAACAAACACACACACTACATGACACAAAGCAACAAAGCCGTTCTGTTTTGCAACATTAACTCTACTCAAAGTGTATTCATTAATTGCATGAGAAAATAATTTCATTTTTTGATGACTCTACCACTGATTGACATTTCTTTCTTTAAAAAAGGGACAAAAGGTGGAAAGAAAAAGGCTTCTTCCTTTATGTTTAATATTTCAGATTATTTAACAGATCTTGCAAGTATCCTTGAAATCTCCACATCGTGTGGCAGATTCTGACAATAATATTTCAGCATAATTGCCAGTTGAATTCTGGAACTAGAGAAGTTTACAGAACGGATGATCTGTCTCTGGATAGTTACAGCCTGCTTTTTCCTCTTTCGTTTTCTTAACTGAACTGTAGTCATTTCTGTAGATTACAAAACACTGCAGACAGGATGACGTTTTAAAATGACGTCTTGGTTAATGCTTTCCTAGAATGGGCAGCTACATTCTCTTCCAAAAGAATAAAAATGCTTTAACAGAAACACTATTTCAAAAGTTGATAGTTCACAGTACATAAGAACAGAGACTCTGGATGTCAATAAAACCAGAGTGCTCTATTTTCAGTCCTCTTCTGTGAGTTTGACAGTGGTCGTGTAGCACCCTACAGTATGTAAGGCACAAGGGGATACAGCAGAGGATGCATCCACTTTGTACTAATTTTCTCTGTGAACAGAATGTGAAGAATTTGTAATTTTCTCTGAAAAGAGAGGACTTCTGAAGCACAAATTACGTCAAATATGATTGTCACTTTAAAACAATCTTTTTTAAAAGATACATCTGTATTCCCTTTAAAATGTCATTCTTTAGCAAATATTTTTGAGCATTCTAAAACAGGAAGTTGAAATCTAGCAGATGATCCCTTGCTTACAAAGCCTTATTCTGCAAATGCTTACAGGCACTCATATTTACTTATTTGAATGAAATTACATAGCAGTACAGTGCATTATGGTAATGGCCAAATAACACATAGCTCACCTGTACTACAGTTCAGAAATAATATTCCGTTCTATGTGAACATAAAGTAAGTCAATAGTGCTTCTTTAGCAAAGTTACCACCAAATCAGAAAGCGTCAATAGGTAAAAAAATAATTGCAATGATGAAAAGGTCAAATGTAACAGAACAGTCAGTCTAATTCCTTGTCACCGGGAGAACTTTTCGGTTTCACCCCTTACTACTAAATTGTCTTTTAAAAAATCCCTATTTACTACCATTGAAAGTAATCTTTATTTAAACTATTTGTGACACTTGGCAAGTCCCAGCCAGGACAAGGGCACCGAAAGTTGCCATCAGCAGACCCACGTTTGCACAACAACCGTCTGTTTTTTTCACGGCCGGCCGGCGACTCCACAACAGCAGACACTCCAAACGGTGTCTCAAGCACGTTATGTCACCTTCGAAATCAAAAGCGTAAAAACCTGCCCCTCTCCTTTGCCTCCAAGCACCCCCTCTACTGTATTTTCAACTTTTTTTACTTTACTTGACAGTCCTTCACAGACATCCCTTCCCAGCTAGGAAGACCCCTAGAATACATCAGCGGAAAAGCCTACTACGTGCTTAAAAACAAACAAATCCCCGAAGGGGCGTGAGGCCGTTCCTGCACTAACAGAAGGCAATTTTTCAAACGCGCAATAGAAAGGAAAGCTCCGCACCGGGGGAAGAAGAGGGCGTCCGACTCCCCGGCCCCCCGTCACCCCGCCGGCAGGGCCGGCACCGGCACGACCCCCTGCCCCGCCGTCCCCCGAGTCTCGCCACACGGCAGTGGCCGTTGCCGCCGGTTGCCCGCCTTCCCCTCCGGCTCGCAAGGCAAACCCCGCGGCACCCGCTCCCCCCGTCTCAGCGGCAGGTCCGCGCGCGGGCCGCGGTCACAG